CACTGAAGTCAGATTTATGCTTCTCTGTCAAAAAAAAAAGGTTTTTAATGTTTTTATGGTATGATTATATATATATATGAATATATATATATATATATATATATATATATATGAATATATATATATATATATATGAATATATATATATATATATATATATATATATATATATATATATATATATATGAATATATATATATATATATATATATATATATATATATATATATATATATATATATATATATATATATATATTCAGGGATGCTCCAATCTGGTTTTTTGCTGCCAATCACCGAAAACATCTCTGATATGATTGCCGGTATGATCAGCGAATCATACATTCGCCGTTACGATCACCGTGACGATCACCAATACATTCGCCAATACGATCGCCGATATGATCACCGATACATTTACCGATACGATTGCTGATACAATCCATTACAATCACATGGATTGGCGTAAAATATTTCTTTGAAGGTATGACTGCTAGAGACTACACAATTTGGGAAAAAGGGACAGTAACATTGCGTTAAATAGCCTGTATTAACTTAAACAGAAATATGTTTTTACTTTTCCAAGAGAGAAAACAAAGACTTGCAGCACAATCTGTGTTTTTGTTTCTCAGTACAACTTCTAAGCTTCCTGCTCACAACCCAAAGTTTAGAGCTGAAGGAGCCTCTTGGATGAGGGGTTAAACATCTTCAAGATAACCAGAAAAGTCTTGGGGCATCATTCATCAAACTTTCGTAGAAGTCCTATATTCCTTCCTCTCAACGTAATGTTGAATGTTTATATGAACAGTCCAAATCCTGATTTATAAAACATGTGGTGGTCTCTCATACGCGTGGTTCTCTGCACTCGTCTGATGATAAATCCCACCTGTGCGTACCCAGGTGCTCGTGGCCGTTGCCAGTCATTTACATACAGAAACGCCCCCAATAACCACATTTGGTCATGCTACGTTCTCAGCATGTGAGGGGATTCCCTGCGTTCTACCCAGACAAAATGAAACTTGCAAGAACGAGACACTGGCTGCCGAAGTGCAAAACAACCAAACAAGTTGCAGAGGTTGTAAACGGGGTCGGGACAGAGGAGCGGTTCCCGTCAGGAATAAAAAAAAAACTTTAATGTGATAAATCGTAGAGTAACGAGTTATTTACATCTTACATTTAAGGAGGCATGGCTTTGAAATAACTTTTTACATCTGAACTCATCTAAGTTGGAGACTCCTTTTTTGTCCCTCCCACTCCACCTGCGGTTAGCCCTGTCCTGACTTCCTGTTTTGCAAACTTAGTGAAGCCAACCAAGACTAGCCTTGGGGTAGTTTTGGACCCAGAGTAGTGGGCTTCTTACTTCGTCTTTGTTTTACTTTATTCATTGTTGATTTTATAGTTGTTACTGAGCTACTTTTATTACTTCTGACTCGTGCATTTTGGTTTCATTTGTTCCACCCTTATTCCAGTGTACAGCACTTTGGTCGGCCTTGGCCGTGTATAAATGTGCTTTATAAATAAAATGAATGAATGAAAAGGAGTCGTTCTGTTCAGAGATAGTTTTATTTGGAAATGTCTGAGTGCAGCCTCTTCTGAGCTGTCACTCAGTCTGGTTACCTTGACAACACGTGGGATCAGGGAGCAGAGGAGGTTCTCGTAGTTGTAAAATAGAGTATGGACTGGAATCAGATTTGTGCGATATATATGTCGCTCCAAAAAGGGTCCTAGATCACAGCAACTTTAATAATAATAATAATAATAATAGTAATAAATTTTCTTATATCTAACACATCTCAAGCAAAATGACAAGGCACTTCACAAGCACAATATAATATAATGAAATTAAATAAAAAATAATATTAATTGATTAAAAACAATTAAGAATGTCAGAAAGCATGACATCCATTCTACAATGTCAGGTTGAGTGTTTTAGCACCAACTATGTGAGACAGCTGTGTGGATGAGGGACGTGTTTTTTCGTTCCACCACTAGATGCTGTTCCTACCCATGGTGTACTCAATAGGCGCCCCGCGGGCTGGATGTGGCCCGCGAGCCCTCCCTTTGTGGCCCGTGAACCCTGTGCGCACCCCCCAACCCTGGCAGCTAACCGGGGGGTGTAGGATAGAGCTGAGGAAAATAATCAAATAATCGATGTGTCAAGAAGAAGAAGCAAATATTTCTATAGCGCCTCTCAAGATAAAAATCACGAGGCTCTTCACAAAAACAAAAAATGTAAAAATATAAAAAAGAATTTAGAAAATGTTTGAAAATATATTTAAAATGAGCAAAAATTGACATTTGTGATTAAAAAACTGTTAAGAAAGAGAGAGAGTGAACAGGAAAGAGGGAAATCAGTGGATCCTGAGGAAGGTGGAATAGGTGGGGAGAGCAGAATAAAGAGAGAGTGGTGAAGAAGGTCATACAAAAGCCAGCTTGAACAAGTGAGTCTTCAGCTGCTTTTTAAAGGAGTCCACTGAGGTAGCAGTCACACAGCCGAGCTGGAGGGGGACAGGTGTTGTCCTTTATATTGCAAGCTTGTGTGTGTTATGCATTACAGCCAGCAATTCAAACAGCAGCAGCACCCCCCCTCCGTCCGGCCCTCTTACTTCTGGGTCTTTTTTGTGAGTGGCCATCGGACCATTATAATTGAGGACCCCTGACTTAAATGTAACAGCTGTCAGTAACAATCGAACTGAATAATCAAACTATCAACAGGCTAAATCAGGGGTCGCCCACCTTTGTAAAGCTGAGAGCTGATACATGGGTATGAGCCTCACGAGGGGCTACCAGGTTGATACAATACTGACCTTTGAACTAGAAAAGATCAGAATTAAACAGAACTTTGTGTACAATAAACAGATTTTAAAGGTGTTTTAAAAGAAATATGTTGATTAAAATGTATATTGATGCATTATTCATTAACAAATGGCATCAGATTTTATGTTGGATTTGTGCTATTTGGGGAGTGGGAAGTGCTATTTGTGCTATTGGGAAGTGGCCAATGGGCACCAGGTCTAAATAGAGCAGAAAAGCAAAAAAAAAAAGCTCAAAACTTTGTGTGTTGTGAGACTTATTATTATTATTATTATTATTATTATTATTATTATTATTATTGTTATTATTACTAAGAGGTATGACACAAGAGTAATGTAATGTTTAACAGTTAGTGAGGTGATGCTCTGTTGGCTGCAAAGCCTGGTGACAGGTGATCGGCTGGTACAATCAGCTCTGAAAGGAGTAGATTGGAAATTGGCCGATTTTGATCGGTGGCCTATCCATTATTAGCACATCCCTAATTATAGATTATACTATTTTGTGAAAAATGTGTTGAACCTTGATTTGAAGAAACTAGTGAATTGAACTTAAGTCACAATTTCTCCTTGAAAAATCACAATTCAATCTTTTCCACCTCCCATCCATCCGTGGATGCAGGAGCCCCTCCAGGGCCGGGATAGGAAAGCCCCGGTGACTAATGAATAAATGCCACCTATGTTTGAGGAAGGCAGAGATGTTCATGAATGAATGTCCTTCCCGTCATTTTATCAGTGTCATGATTGTGAATGAAAGACTTTGTCATGCTGACCCGGAGACAGACTAGATGGATGTAAACTTTTTTTTATTTATTTATTTGTTTTTTGCAGAGGCAGGATGTCAACAAGAGTTCCCCTGTAGGATTGGTTCACTCAGGAGGGAGGTGTCCTTTAGAGAAGGGGATACGTTCCAGCAGTCCTGGTTGGAGGAGAGTGAGCAGAAATGGATGAAGCAAGTTGGGTGTGACAGTTACAAAACGGCACCTCTCAAGCTGCTGCAGGGTTTAGTGTTATGTTGAAACTGGCGCTGGAGCAGAGCCTGAGGAGAACTTATGAAGTACTGCTCACAGCTGAGACAGGGAGACCCATCAGGGAGGGCTGATGAGGACCACTGGGGAAGATGGTGTCCATAGTGACTGTCTGAGGAGCTGAGGGAACAGACTACCAGGAGACTGTCAGCAGGTCCTGATTGTGTCTCATTTTGTTTGTGAACCTCTCCCATGGCTCTTCCTGACTCACACAGACAAGCTTGAAAAGGTTCCCAGACACACGATGACTGTCTGTTTTAAAAAGGAAGGGCATTTGTGTCCGAACATATTTGATCACTTTGTGTAATTTAAATCTCCATCTGCAGCCTAAACTTAAAACCTATAAAAAAAAGGTTTCAGCCAAACGAATAAATAAAAAGGGAGATCTCTGTAAACACGTTGTGTCTGTCTATGCCGTGTCAGATCCGGTTCTGCAGCATCACACACACACACACACACACACACACACACACACACACACACACACACACACACACACGCGCGCGCACACACACACACACACACACACACACACTCCTTTTTGATCACAGCACGCCCCTGAAATCGAACAAGTCCCTTGCTCTGGGCCCTGTGCGCTCTTTGGCTTCAGACGTTACATAAAGGTTCTGATACACGTTTGCATTCATTCCAAAGACAACCATCGTTAAAACTAAAATCTTTAACCACGAGGCCCCGATTGGCACTTCAGCTCCAGAAGCCTCTGTTCTTGAGCTCGTTTCACAAGAGCCTAACGTGACCGCTGGATCGATTTGCTTTTGTTAGCTCTCAACAGGGATCCATTGCCACACCGATTGTGCGGCTTGTCAGTCGGTAATTTAGGTAAACGGTCCTCAGATCGTTCTGTAGTCAGGCTCCTAATCTGCAGAAGCATTAGTTGTGTTTCCTTCTCATTATGTCTGCTGCAGATGAGAACTATACTCCCTCAGAGATGTTTCTACTCTCCTCTCTGCTACCCGCTGTCTGCTTGTCTAAATCTGTTTGTGCTCCTTCTGCTTTCCCAAACGTAAACCCAGAGTGTGGCTCTCCTCCTCCAACCCACCAATCCGAGCCCTGATTTCTTTGACTTGTGAGCCCCCCTCCCGTGATCCCTGTGAACCCTGATGAGCCCTGATTGGTTCCTGAACTCAGCACATCTTTTACAGAGGGCGGGGAGCCGTGGAACGGCTCTGCCCCGTCGGCTCCAGACAGGGGGGCTTCAGAGGGCAGGGTGTCCCAGGGCCGAGAGCCCATTCTGGGTCGAGGGAGCCCCCCCTCTACAGATCTCCAGGATCCCAGTAGAAACAGGAGAGCTCATCCCAATTGGGCCATACTGGGTAATGTTTTTGTGAATGTGTTTGTGCATGAATGTTGAGATGTGGATCTGTCTGAAGAGGTAAACCATAAAAACCCATGTCAGGTCTTCTGACTAGTGTAAACCAGAAAGGGTTTGATGGTTTTACGAGTTCACACAGAAACAGTGATCGGTTTGGGTCTGTTTGGACTGAAGTTTGATCCATTTAGTCCTGGCTTGTGTTTACTCCTGAACTTTTCATTTTTAAAGCTATAATCATTTTTTCCAAACAGATGAATTCATCATCACTAAAACTAAAACATTTTTGGTGACCATTTGAAAACAGAAAAATTGCAGGAAAATACACAAACCACAAAAGTAATTTTGTGCGATAGAGCGGCATATTTTTTAGTTGCAGGTCAGTCACACGGCATCTTTATTTCTTAGCAAGTTCTTCCTATTTTGTCTCCGTTTTGTTTACTCTAAATGTCAGATTCTTGTCTTTTTGTCTCCGGTCGGTCGTCCCGTGGTCCACGTGACTCAACCAGACTCAACCAGACTCAACCAGCGTGGCATGCTGGGAAATCTCCCATCCAGTTTGTAATCAGTGTGCTGAGTCGTAAACGCTAGCTAGCACGTATCTTATCTAAACTTTAGGTTACTATCAAATGTGATACAACTGGTCACTTGTTGTTTTGCTCTGAGGGCTGCACTTACAGCAACGTTTTGTTGGATATCAGTTCCATTTTTTCTTTTTCGGCCGGTCCTACAGTGAGATCATGGACAGCTCGGCTCAGATGAGGGAATATGGAGTTAACCAAAACCTGACACGGGTAAGCTATTTCTTAATTCATGGCTATTTTTCTGAGAAAGCTTGGAAGCGCTGCCATAGGTTAGGCGCTCATCTTGTAATTGATGGTTTGTGGGATTGATCCTGACTTTTTTTACTTTGATTTATTGAATAAAGCTCTGATTTCAGTGCATATTATAAGTAAACGTCAAACAAGCAAATACTTAGATATAAAAAAATTTAAAATAATTGTCCATATCAGTGTTCAAGCTACATGTTTATGCATATCGTCCCTAAACTCAGCACAAGCTGGTTCTCAAAGTCAGAGACTCTCTTGGTCAGCTTTCTTCTCACACCAAACCCTCTGTCAGGAATCTTGGTGTGACCTTTGACCCAGCTCTCACCCTGGAGTCTCATGTCAGTTCTCTTGTTCGCTCTTCCTTCTTCCATCTCAGGAACATTGCTAAGCTGAGTCCTATTCTGTCCCGCTCTGAATTTGAGAGTTATCCACACCTTCATCTCCTCATGCTTAGACTACTGTAACTCTCTTTTCACGTGTCTGAGCAGAACCTCCCTGAACCATCTACAGGTGGTTCAGAATGCCTGTGCTCAGCTTCTGACCAAGTCCTCCAAACACACCCACATCACCCCGCTTCTCCTCCAGCTTCACTGGCTGCCAGTCAACTTCAGGGTTCATTTCAAGATCCTGGTTCTGGTCTATAGGGCCTTACATGGACAAGCACCATCATACATTGGTGATCTTCTTAGTCCCTACACCCCCAGCAGGTCCCTGAGGTCCAGTGATCAAAGCCTACTGGTTGTGCAGCACCAGGCTAAAGACCAAAGGTGACAGATCATTTGCTGCTGTGGCCCCCAGACTCTGGAACTCTCTCCCCCTGAGCCTGAGATCAGTGGACTCAGTGGTCTCCTTTAAAAAGCAGCTGAAAACTCCCTGAACCGTGAGCTGCAGCTGCGTGAGCTGCCAAAATGACATGCTTTATTTAGAAATGCAGCCGCGTCGCCAGCCGATGTTGACGGAGCTTCAGTCCCGAATGTTTTTCTTTTGTTTTCACTCATCAGCCACAGATCGCTCGCTCACTGCAAGCTGGGCTTCCTACCGTGGTGACTCACTCACAAGTAGGGATGGGTACCTTTAACATTTGAATCGATTCGGTACTAATTCCCGGTACCTAGGAATCGATACCGGTACTTAACGGTACCATCTTTCGATACTTTTGAGTGTTTATTTTTATTCTCTTTTATAACTAAATATATATTTTTCTCAATATATAACAATATTTGATAACTATCACGATTAATAACATACAACTGTTTGTATTTTAACATCGTCCTTGTAATTTTATAAGCTGATAATTAAACTGAAGCAAACATCTTTACTGTGAACTAAATTTACTGTGTATCTTCATTCACTGTTGCTGTCCTTTTTCATTTGATTTTTCCTACTGGGAAGTTAGAATTTCCGAGGAGAAAGCGAACGCACCATTAGCTGATAACAACGGTGGCAATGGAAGCTAACATATCAAGCTAACGTTATCTTAAACAGTTTATTTAACTGCTGGAGACGATTAAAACGATGATGCCTTAGATCGTTGTCGCTGGTTTCATCTTCACCCAATCACCCGTCGCATTTAGTAAAGTGAAGCCAAACTTTAGAGCGCGTTCATGTTCTTCTAGTTGGAAATTCTGAGTTCAGAAGAGAAACTGAACGCACCATTAGCGGAACGGAAGCTAAAATATCAAGCTAAGGTTATTTTATTTACCTACCGGAGCAGATTAAGATGAGGATGTCTACCTTAGATCGTTGTCGCTGGTTTCATCATCACCGTTACCCATCACATTTAGTGAAGTGGGCCCAAGCTTTAGCCTGCGTTTTTTTCTACCATGCTGCTCTGTTTACAACTCGCTCGCAGCGAGCGACGACATAACGCTCTTGCGCATGCGCAGCTGTCTTGGCAAGTTCTCGTTATGAAGGACGGGTACCGAAACGAGGCACCGTTTCAAATTACGTGAACCGGTGCTCAGTCGGTACTATGGAATTCGGTTGGTACCTTAAAAAGTACCGAATTTCCATAACCAGGTTGCTGGTACGAAAGCCTGGAAAGGCCAAAATTCCTCAAAAGTTTTTCCCCCTACTGGCTGATATGAATTAATACAATAGAATAGAGTAAATGTTATTAGTCCCACAGTGGGGACATCCACTCATTACAGCAGCACACACACTTAGAGAATCAGATTACAGTAAAACTGATTCCAGCCATGTTTGCTTTGATAACTTCAATAACTTCATGCTGATGGCCCACATGAACATAATCCTGTTTAGTGGATGCAACTACATCATGAAGTTAACTTAACATGATAGATTTTTTTTTCTTGGCAGAAATAATAACTGGTAATATTATGAATGACATGATATTGCCCACCCCTAGATGGAATTTAAATCATTTACGTTAATTATAATTAAAAGTTCCGGTAACTCTTTACTGCTGATAGATAGATGGATGGATGGATGGATGGATGGATGGATGGATGGATGGATGGATGGATGGATGGATGGATGGATGGATGGATAGATGATGGACGGACGGACGGACGGACAGATAATGTGAAGAAGTTCAGGACAGTTGGATGTTAAATTTTCCTCACGAAATGAAAAATTGTATTAAACAAAGGTCGGTTTCCTCTGTAAAGTCAGAGGTACGGAAGAGGATTAGGGCCACTGAAAAGAAAAAAAAAGAAAAGAGGATTCTGACTTTTTTCCCAGAATTCCCTGTCAGAATTCCGAGATTGAAAGTCAGAATTCTGAGAGAAAAAATAAGAATTCTCTTTCTTTTCTTTTTATTTCTTGTCAGTGGCTCTAATCCTCTTCCGTATAGAGTAGAAATAAATACATAAAATGTAGAGCACGAAAAGTCTCAATATTAATACATGACCCCACCCCCACCCCTCCTGTCCTAAAGGTCGGCGAATTTTCTGCGCCCTACTCCATGACCCCGTCTCACTTTTTGAAATGTTCAAAAGTTGGCAGCCCTGTGTTGTTTCTACTAATTCTGCCTTTCCTAAGATCCAATGATGACATTTTTCATATTTCTTATTCTTTTTCCCTTTTCTCACATTTTTCATCACAATTTTATTTTTTCCCAGTTTTTATACGTTTAGTAGTTTTCTTTATGATTTGTAGTTTTTGTTCTTGTGAAGCGCCTCGTGATTTTTATCTTGAGAGGTGCCATGTAAAAGATTGTTTCTTCTTCTTTCTAACGTGTTGAAGAAATTTCAGTTTTCATCTATTCCTCTGGAATATTTCACATTCTGCCAGGCCACTCCAGAAATGAGAGAATACGACTTTGGAAAGACATTAAACCCAATAAGTGCAAATCAAGATGTAATGTTTGGGATCTGATGCTGAGTTTCTTCTTCTTGTTTCAAATTATGTTAAAAGACTGAAGTCCATCTGTTCATTGGTCCGTCTGCTCCGTCAGCAAGGACATAACCGTCCTTCAACTCTGGAGCAGATGTTCTCCAGTGTAAAACCCAGCAGCAGAGCTGGATGGATGGGATGTGGAGGAGGCAGGAGACAGGGTAATGTGTGAGAAGGAAACAGCAAAGGATACGCCATGTTTTGCTATTCCCACTGTGCCATTTTGGCTCATAAATTTCCATTTTAGAGGGCAGTCAGTCTCTGTTGCTGCTACATTAGTTTTATGACCAAAAACAGCTTATTAGAGCCTGTGTTGCAGGGAAGAAAATATTTTATTTTACAGCACGGCCTGCTGAAACCCGCTGTGTCTGAATGAATTAGTTTATGACAGACTGCGTTTGGAGTTGATAAACATCCTAAAACTCAGAAATGCGTCTCAGACCGGACTGAGAAGGCGTGGAAGTACGTGACAGAAGAACCAGGGTGGAACATTACTTATGTACGGATGAACATCTGTTTGCATGTCAGAAACACACACACACACACTCACTGGTGAACATTTTTCTGCTACTGGTGTTGCTGAAGGGGAAATTACATCAATGAGGTTGGAAGGTTGAATCACAAATGTTCTGACTCAAAGCTTCAGGCCTTTTCTGCATTTACTCACATGATTTCTCTTCTCCCTCCACCTTTTAGTTATAACAAGATTTATGGGAAGATGAATGGTTTGTTTCTGGCTCTTTGTAGAAAAAAAATCTGAAATTTTGCATCAGTTTGTTCTTATTTGTCTTCAAATTGAGTACAATAGTGCAAGCTGAAGCTGACCCACTGTGCAAAGACCTTGTTTGGACATCCTATAGACATGGGCTGGACAGACAGTCAGTATAGACATGATCTTCACGTCCATGCGACATTGACTGTTTGCAGGGGATTTGCTGAAGCTCTTGAAAGCCATGTGGCAAAACCGACCTGCTTGAAGGATACAGGGTTTCAAAAATTCTCCACTGTCAGCAATCACAAATGTAAGTAACTGTGGTTTTAGGTTTCGCAGCACCAGCGACAAAAATGCTCTGACATGACGTGTGACTTGTGTTTACACTCGCTTGTTTTCATGACTTCTATTGCTGCCCGATGTAGACCGGCAAAGGATAATGTTGCCCACTCCCTAGTTATTCCACAAAATGTTTTTAGGGAAAGATTTGGGGAACTACTGCCACCTACAGGATAGGCTTGCCTATAAATGATTTACTGAAAACACGGCAGTGTATTAAGTCAGAAAAGGGTAGAATGTCTTCTCCAGGTCAGGGACGAGGTCTTACCCCAAGTGGAGGAGTTTAAGTATCTCGAGGTCTTGTTTGCGAGTGAGGGAAAGATGGAGCGTGAGATCGACAGGCGGACTGGTGCTGTGTAGTGACCGAAAGAACGAGATTGTGGATACAAGCGGCCAAATGAGATTTCTCTGCAGGGTGGCTGGGCTCTCCCGTAGA